CCAGCAGGTTGTTGGTCTCGGTGCCTACCCTTCCTGAGCGCTCTTCCCCCAGACCTGCACGGGTCTCACTCGCTCTTGTCATCCAGGTCTGGGGCAGGCCTCGGGCCTCAGGTCTTCCCCTTGTGTTTGTTACCTCTCCATCGGGAGCTCCCTCCTGGGGCTCCTGACCCCAGAAGGCCCTTAGAAGGACTACCCGGCAGAGGCAGGACACTGACCGCCTAACTAACCGGCGTTCCCAGCACGTCCCTGCCTGCATGCTCGTGCGCACATCCTCAGGTAATGGCCCTGGGCAAACGGAGGGATGCTCAGGTCAACAGGACCTTTATCGCGAGACTTCTGGAGGCTTTCAGGTGCATCATGAGCCCCCACAGTGGAGAAGGGATGGGTCCCCTCGACCCAGCGGTACTGGACTGCAGGGCCCTTTTCAGCCCAGGACAGGGAAAACTGCACTGGAACCTTCCCCTGGGGCTGGAATCAGGTTAGGATGAAACCCAGTGGTCTCTCGGTCAGTTACAGAAGCCACTGGCTAAAGGGCAGTGGGGACAAGGGTGGCAAATGCAGGGTAGTGGACACAGTCTGAGCACGGAATCGTTAAACAACAGGTCCTTGGCCAGGGAGGTGCCAGCATGGCCATGAAGCTCGTTCGAAATGCTGAACCTCGGCCTCTCCAGTCCTGAATCTGCATTTTCACGCCCTACCCCTCCCCTGTTATTTGTGGGCACAGGAAAGTCTGAAAAGCCCCTTTTCACACTTTCCCTCTCTTCAGGCTCTCTTGGGTGGTCCCTGGGCCATTTCCTCCAGCTCATTTCCATTTCCGGGACTATGGAAACCCTGATGGTGGTCCATGGCACCATGCCCACACCCCTTTTGGACACCCCCAAGGGTCCCCACTGCCTTCAGGATCAAGTTTGAGCTTCTGAGCCTGGTACAGCAGGCACTTTGCAAATGGCCCAACACTGAGCATACCCAGCCTCAGCTCCCATCCACCCTGCCCCTGCCCCGGCCCTGCAACCCCAGCCCTGCAGCTCTGGCAGCAGCCAGGAAGTTCCTGGCTCCGTGCTTTGTCCAGCGCTTTTGTCTCCCCACTGGAATGCCCTTCTCCCTGCCTCCACACCAGCAAATTCCTGCTCCTATTTTAAGGTCTGTAATCTCTGAAGACTCCCGAGTCCCCCAGCAGAGGGTGGCTCCCGGAGCTCCCTGCATCCTTCCTCGGGCTCCTACCAGGGCCTGCTCCTGAACATGAGTGGCCTGGGTACAGAATGTTCTTATTCCTCCTGGACCCAGAGACTGGCCCAGGGCAAACGCCAGTTTGCTGGACAGGTGAGAGTCGAGGGAAGGAGGAGGAGAAAGGCCCCGGTGGGACCCGTGTTCCCTGAGAGAGGGGTCAGCCTGGCCTCACGGGAGGCCTGCCAGGGCATGCCAGCAGGTTGTTGGTCTCGGTGCCTACCCTTCCTGAGCGCTCTTCCCCCAGACCTGCACGGGTCTCACTCGCTCTTGTCATCCAGGTCTGGGGCAGGCCTCGGGCCTCAGGTCTTCCCCTTGTGTTTGTTACCTCTCCATCGGGAGCTCCCTCCTGGGGCTCCTGACCCCAGAAGGCCCTTAGAAGGACTACCCGGCAGAGGCAGGACACTGACCGCCTAACTAACCGGCGTTCCCAGCACGTCCCTGCCTGCATGCTCGTGCGCACATCCTCAGGTAATGGCCCTGGGCAAACGGAGGGATGCTCAGGTCAACAGGACCTTTATCGCGAGACTTCTGGAGGCTTTCAGGTGCATCATGAGCCCCCACAGTGGAGAAGGGATGGTTCCCCTCGACCCAGCGGTACTGGACTGCAGGGCCCTTTTCAGCCCAGGACAGGGAAAACTGCACTGGAACCTTCCCCTGGGGCTGGAATCAGGTTAGGATGAAACCCAGTGGTCTCTCGGTCAGTTACAGAAGCCACTGGCTAAAGGGCAGTGGGGACAAGGGTGGCAAATGCAGGGTAGTGGACACAGTCTGAGCACGGAATCGTTAAACAACAGGTCCTTGGCCAGGGAGGTGCCAGCATGGCCATGAAGCTCGTTCGAAATGCTGAACCTCGGCCTCTCCAGTCCTGAATCTGCATTTTCACGCCCTACCCCTCCCCTGTTATTTGTGGGCACAGGAAAGTCTGAAAAGCCCCTTTTCACACTTTCCCTCTCTTCAGGCTCTCTTGGGTGGTCCCTGGGCCATTTCCTCCAGCTCATTTCCATTTCCGGGACTATGGAAACCCTGATGGTGGTCCATGGCACCATGCCCACACCCCTTTTGGACACCCCCAAGGGTCCCCACTGCCTTCAGGATCAAGTTTGAGCTTCTGAGCCTGGTACAGCAGGCACTTTGCAAATGGCCCAACACTGAGCATACCCAGCCTCAGCTCCCATCCACCCTGCCCCTGCCCCGGCCCTGCAACCCCAGCCCTGCAGCTCTGGCAGCAGCCAGGAAGTTCCTGGCTCCGTGCTTTGTCCAGCGCTTTTGTCTCCCCACTGGAATGCCCTTCTCCCTGCCTCCACACCAGCAAATTCCTGCTCCTATTTTAAGGTCTGTAATCTCTGAAGACTCCCGAGTCCCCAAGCAGAGGGTGGCTCCCGGAGCTCCCTGCATCCTTCCTCGGGCTCCTACCAGGGCCTGCTCCTGAACATGAGTGGCCTGGGTGCAGAATGTTCTTATTCCTCCTGGACCCAGAGACTGGCCCAGGGCAAACGCCAGTTTGCTGGACAGGTGAGAGTCGAGGGAAGGAGGAGGAGAAAGGCCCCGGTGGGACCCGTGTTCCCTGAGAGAGGGGTCAGCCTGGCCTCACGGGAGGCCTGCCAGGGCATGGCGGGGGGGTGCTCAGGAGCAGCAAGTCCTTGGCACACGCGTGTGGCAGACGTCACACATCCATCACTACATTTTTTCTTCGGCTTCAGAATCTTTGATGGCACCCTCCAGGCTATCCCCAACAATGAGCTGAGTCTGGCATAAGAGGAACCCTGTTTGCCATCGCAGGGGAGCTCAGTCACAGTGCGACTGACCGGAGCCCAGACCAGAAACGTGAGGACCATGGGGTGTGGGTGATGGGTGTGCACACAAAGCTCTTTGTGCTCCCAGCATCCTGGGCTGGGGTTCAGTTCAGTGAAGGACCCCTTTACTCCTTCTGGCCACCTGCCCTGAGCACCTCAGCAGGAGGGAGTTAGGGCCCCCTGGGGCGGCCAGCACTCTCTTCTCTGCCCCCACCCATGGGCTCTGGCTGAGCCATTGCCTCCGATTTGCTGAAAGGTCGCTGCCTACACCAGCCCCAGGAATCACCTCCGGCTCTGACCAATGCCTGGGCCACCTGCCACATTTCTGCCCTGCAGGCAGGAGCCTCAAGAACAAGAACGACCCACGCAGGGCCCGCACCCTCTGCAGGCCTGCACCCTCTGCAGCTCCCGACAGGAGCGAAGGACACACGTACACGTAGCCAATGACGTCGGCATCTGGCTGCTGGTAGAATGCTTTGTCAGCGATCCTTGCGGGGAGGTTAGGGAAGGGTTAGGTGGGGGCAGACAGCAGCAGGACAGGCAGGCAGAGGGTTAAAGAGAGAGAGAGACAGCGTTAGGACCTCCGTGGGAGGGGAGGTGGGAAGCAGCTCTAGAAGGCTCAGCACCGGGGCCTGGGCTTTTTCTAAAGCTCAGCCCTGACCAGGCTGCTCCTCCTGCCTGTGTCTCCGCCAACCCTGCTCCCGCCTTCCCACCACTCCCTGACTCCCATCACAGGACTCCCTTTCCTACTGGGCTGTCCTAAAGTCTGGAATGCCCTCCCGGCCCCAGCCCCTTGCCCTGAAGAACCTGTTCCCCGAAGCCCAGCTGCTGCCTGCTCCCCAGCTCCTACGCCTTTGTGTGGAGGGCCCCACGTGAGCTCAGCTCTGCGAGTCTCTGTGAGCTAAGGGCCGGAGCTGCGTCCTCTGTCTGTCTGCAGCTGACCTAGAGCCTGGCCTGCAGCGGTTCTCGAACACACAGGTGGCTTCCCAGGATGGGTCTTCCCCCTTCCTGGAGGACCTTGTACTTTGAAGGGCGCAGCCCGGAAGGCAGGGGCCCCTGGGCGGCTTCCAGTCTAGACTGTTTCCTCTGCCTGTCCGGCATCCCGCCCCCACTTCCAAGAAGAGCCCCCTGATCGCCCCTGCAGGGTCGGGCTGCCCCAACCCACTCTTTGGAAGTGATTCCTATGCATGACCTAAGTCATGGGACGTTGCCCAGGCCAGGTCCACGAGAATGTCCCTCCTGGTTGCAATCGCCCCTGCCCTGGGCACACGACCCCACCAGGTTTTGGGGTCAGCCGAGAGCCTCACCAGGAGCTCTGGGAGCTGGGTCTCCCAGAGAACAGGGCAGGGGCCTGTGGCTGGAGCATGCAGCCATGCTTGGCCCCCAGGGTGCCCAAGACAAGCCAACGTGGACGAAGGTGGGCCACGTGACAGGGAGAGTCACTGGCCCTCTGGCTCCCGGACCATGGCCGCCCCGGCCCCCAGCACCACTGGTGTCCTTTATCCTTCAGCTCCTCTGGGTTAAGTGCTGTCACCTCTACGGTGACAGCTCACATGGCTGGCTCCGCACTCTCCGCTGCCCGGGTGCTCTCTGGTCCTGACCTGGCTGTTGGCTGCTGACCCCGGCCAGCCTGGCCCGTCCCCGGGGCCCTAGGCCTCCGAGCTGGCCGACAGCTATCGAGGACAGCAGCGAGGGCTCACGAAGGGCCAGCTCCGAAGGCAACGAGGAAGCAGCCCTGGACTTGCAGCTGCTCACCCCTGCTCCAGCCACCAAGTTGCCCATCCTAGAGATGCCACCAAAGCCCCCTTGCTGTGTCTGGCTGGCCTCAGGTCCCCACAGTTTTTATGTCCCCATAGTCCTCTCCCCCCATAGCCCCAATGTCCCCACAGCCCCCCACGTCCCCACTGCCCCTCACCGGTTATTGATCTTGCTCTTCTCCACCTGCTCACTCTGGCGCTGGTTCCACTCCTCCAGGTCCTTCTTGGCCTTCTCCCGCCACTCCTGCTCTGTCACCTTAGCGGCGGCATCTACACTCCGATGAGAATGGTTGGTCATTTTCCAGAAGGGAAGTGTGCCTCGGCCACCCTGGGCTTGCCCTCGCCCAGTCCACATTAAGGCAGAGCAGGGTCCCGTGGACCCCAGGGCTCCCAGCTCCCTGTCCCCCGCACCCCACTAACCACCCGCTGGCGGCCTGGGGAGGAAAGAGGCCCACCCACCCCCACCTCGGCCGGCCCTCACCCAGCTCTTGCAGGCG